GGCCCCCCCCTCCCCCCCGTAGCAATCACGCCCCCTGCCGGCGTCAGAAACCGCCCCACGCGGCAGTTGGTGTGCGCCCGGAAGGTCAGATAAGGCGTCGTCCCGGTGGCTCGACTCAGCGCCCACACGTTGACAACGCCCTTCTTGTGGCAGGCCAGCAGTCGGTCGCCGAAGACGTTCCACTCCAGGCGCTTCACCTTGCCGTAGGGGTGCTGTGGTGTGGGCGTGGCCGGCATCCCGGTTGAGTGCGGCTTCGGGGCCATTGCGGGAGGGGCGCCAATGCCCACACCCTCGTTGAGCATTGCTGGTGTGGAGGGGGTCTTCTTCATGCCGCCCATGCCGCCCTTGATGATCAGCGAGCCCCCTGTGTCGTGCTGGACGGCCTTCGACCCCCCGCCGCCCACACCCATGGTGTCACCCACCCCCGGTGGCGCGTGATAAGACGGCAACACAGAGGTCTTCCCGGCCTGTGAAGGCGACACATCCCGGTAGAAATGCGGCGAGTGCGGCAGGCTCGTCACGAAGTCCAGCGCGCCGAGGGGGGCGTTCTCGCCAAAGCCCCACAGCACCACCCCGCCGCCATCCATGTGAGCCGACGCGTAGACGGAGAGGGAGGGGTGCGCCCCTAGAGCCGTCGCGGGGCGCATTCTGTCGCTCGCACTCCCAGGGTTGCAGGCGAAAACGTCCATGGTGGTCCTTTGCCGCCTTCTGCCAGTGTAAGGGCCCCCGTGGATGGCGTGGGAGTCAAGCAGGCCGGCAGGTGGGGGCGGGGAGGCGCAGCCGAGGTAGCGGAGAGGGGAGCCTTCCGCGAGCCCCCAGACGTGGCCGGTGACTTGAGGCCGTCCGGAGGGAATGGGCGGCGAGGGTCGCCACATGCCGTTGAGCAGCAGCTCTGCACACATGTCGATGGCCACTTCCTTGCCAACACCACCACCGCCACCTGGTTTCGCCGAAGCTGGGGCAATGGACGGGTGGACGCACCGCAGCACGTGCCCCGCAATGGCGCTGTCGTAAGCAGAGGCCACGGCATCGAACCGGTGCAAAGCCAGCTCCCACGACATGGCCTCCTCCTCCCCCGCACCGCCGCCCCCTCCCGCCCCTGAAGGCATCATCACCATCAGCGGCCCCGTCCGCCCACGGAACAGCACGCAATGCGCCGAGTGCAGGTCTCGCAGCCCTTTGGCAGTCCCCACGGCGAGCAAGCCGCTTCCAGTGCGCGCCGTTACGCTCCCCGACGCGCCGTCGGTCTCGCCCTGTGCGGCGGTGAGGGGTGCTTTGTCGATGGCCAGACAGGGGATGGCGTCCTTGGAGTAGGCAATGAGCGCCGAGAGGGCCGGCAGGGGGGAGGGGAGGGAGACGGCGAGGGCAGGGTGGCGCGCGTAGAGCAGACAGATGCGTCTCGTGCCTTCGAGCGGGCGCCACACGGCGATGGCCTCTGGTATCCAGGCCGTGTCCATCACCTCCTCGATCAGGTCCTCCGCACCCCAGCCGCCCATCTGCCCGGCCAGCAGGGCGAGCGCCCCGCTGTCAGACACCAGGCTCTCCGACGACGACTGCGACACAGCGGCCTTCTTCTTGACGCTCGTCGGCTGCTGGGCGGCGGATGGCGAGGGCGTGAGGGCCAAACAGGGGGCGAGGGACTCGGCCAGCTTGCCCGACGCCGCGGCGACGAAGTGGCTGCGGAGGAAGCCGAAAGTGTATGTCTGCATGGCGTGGATCAGCTGGGAGAACCAGAATGGCAGCAGTGGGGAGGAGGATGGCACGATGCCCACGGTGCTGCTGCTGCTGCCGGAGAGGGCCATTTGCCGCACGCCCTTGAGCACCGTCAGCAGCCGCTCGAATAGGAAGAGCACCGTGGCCGTCTCGAAGAACCGCACCACCATCTTTTTGGTCGCCCTGTCGTCGGTGTCATTGTCGAGAGAGTCGATCAGCGTTGCGGCGGCCCACCTGGCACGCTCTCTCGGGTCGCAAGGCCACTGCAGCCGCTCTCTCTCCCTCTCCCTCTCCCCCTTTGCCCCTCCACCACCAGCACCAGCAGGAGCGTCAAAGCCATCCCCGAGCATGGCTTCATCTGCCTCGGGCGGCGGCCCCCCTCCCAGACCAAACAGCCCGTCATCGGCCGGTTTCTTCTTTGCCGCTGCCGGCACTGCTCGGTCCTTTTTCGGCGGAGGTCGGGTGAGCCTCCCGCTGCCCTTTGCTGCTGTGGTTGCTGTCGACGTGGATGTGTGTGTGGGCGAGGAGGGGACAGGAGTGGGCTGTGGGTGCAGAAAGTACCGCACCACCACGGGCATCAGCGCCCCACCCTGCAGTGCGGCAAGGTTCAGCGCCGGCTGCCCTGCAGGACCAGCACGGTCCCCCGACTCGCTCAGCAACCCCGCACTCAGGAGGTTCTGCAAACCGCGCCAGTAGGTCGTCTCCCAATCAAAGGACAGGTCGGTCTGGTCCCCATCTTCCTCATGTGTGCCTTCATCATGCGACTCCATGGCGTTCTCCGTGGGCGAAGGGCGGAAGAGTGTGGTCTGTCGGCAGAGGTGGTGGGAGGCCAGGAGGGAGGCCGTCACCACGGCGATCGACGTCACCATCGTCAGCACGTCAGACGGCAAGACGCCCTTGCCGTCCGATTGGTCCACCAGAGGGGGTGGTGGGGGGTAGGTCAGCGCGGCGAGGCTGTTGAGCAGCGTGTGCAGAGCCATCACAGGCAGAGAGCTCGCCATGGGGCACCGGAGTGCCGGCAAAAGCACCCGCAGCGCCGTCGCACAGACCGTCATGGCCGTCGCCGCTCTGCCCCCATCAGTAACCAAACCCATCCCCGCCCAATGTGGCGCGATGCCGAGCAGCGGCGTGTAGACGAGCAGGTCGCCCAGGATGTCGCACTCATTCCTCACACCAGCCCCCCCTCCCAAAGGCGTCTTGTGCACACGAAAGAAGGCCTCGACATGAGGGGGGAGTGGCAGAGGGGCGCTAGTTTTCTCTCCTCTCGGCCGGATGCTCTTGGGAAAGGCATCCAACAGCTCCTGCTGCAGCCGCTCCGGGGCTCTGAACCTTCTGTGCCGCATTGTGGCCAGACGAGTGAGCCTGCTCGTGGCCGAGACGCTGGCGAAGGTGCGGACAGAGAGGAGGGGATTGTGGGTGAGCTCCCCGATGGTGGCGGAAAGGTCTTTGATGCTCAGCGCCTCGTCGGAGGACTCCTGCAGCGCGCCGAGGCTGCGGGCGAGGGAGGACACCAGAGCGAAGTCCATCTCCCTCTCTGGGCTCTCCCCCTCCCCCTCCCTCTCCCTGTGTGCCCGCAGTTGCTGCAGGGCCAGCAGAGGGCAGGCCCGAGAGATGTAGTACTGCACAGCCAATGACACCTGGGTCCTTTCCAATGCCACA